TGGTGTTTTAAAGGAACTTCTAGTTGTTATAATACTCGAAAATATGTCTTATTATAATATATTTAATCCAAATCTTATCTTAATGCATATATATTACGGACACCTAATCTGAACTCTTTCATATATCCTTTTATTCATTAAATTTATTCAACATTTGACACGTTATTTTTATCGAGAGTAGTATTAAACTTCTTTTGCAATATTTTAAATAATATTTATTGTTTTTTCTTGTTTATGTAGTTTGATGCACCGTAAAAAAATTTGATTTCACGAAGTTCGCAAAATTCTATAAAATAATATTAACAGACATTTTTTTATTTCTTTTACTTCTATGCTGGATAATATTTGAACTGCTACCATTGAGCCTTTCAAAATTTTGATACGTATGCAAAATAAGTATTATAAATAAAAAATGAAAATGCATAATCGATCGATATTTTTTATCAAAATAGAATATTTGAATTTTGTTTATGTATTCTTATCTTATTTCTACAATGCTACTTGTCTTATCAATTATTTGACAAAATTTATTATTTACTTATTATAGATAACCAAAATTTCATTAAATATCAAAAATTAAAATAAATTTCTTGATATTTACAGCAATTTTTTATTACATAACAATGAAACAATTTTATTAATTTTATTATCTATAGACAATAGTGTTTTGTAGTGTTCGATAAACAAGATAATATAGTAAATAATATAGTTTTTATGTACAAGATAATATAAAAATATTATTACATTATTTTTATTTATAATATAATTTATAATACAAATGGTTTAATTTTTTTTGTCTTTAGCGAAGTTTGTAAGGCCTTAAATAAAAACCGCGGTTTATACGGGCGCTGGACGGAATTGCAGGATGTTGTTGTCACAAGTCCTACCGTGAGTGGGGGAATCCCAATCTCACGCGACGAATTAGAGTGGACAACTACCGAATTACGGAAAGCCTTACGCTCAATCGAATGGGATCTCGATGATCTAGAAGACACGATCCATATCCTTTGATACATGTATATGTTATATATATGGCACATATGATATTAACCTTTTTAATACTGAGACTCAATAATGCATTTGTGTTAATGGAAAATTAAATATGTTAGATGCCCTTTGAATTTGCTAAACACTTATAAATCCAGTGATACTTCAAGAATTCACCTGTACTTCTTTATTGTTAAAATGGAATATTTAATTAGTTTATTAAAAATCTAGTCGTACGTAACGATTATATAAAATAACTTGAAAAGTAATTTTTTGATACACTTAAAATCTTTTGTTTTTACATTTTGTATTACCCTTAACGCATTGCATATGCATATATACGTATTGTAGAAAAGAATCCGACGAAGTTTAAAATAGATAACAAGGAGTTAACGGTTCAACGAAGTTTTATCGAACAAACACGGGAAGAAGTTAAGGTAATGCGTGTTACATAAAGTTTGGTCCTTACGTTTATTAAAAATTTGATTGAATATATTCATAATATTTTATTTGTTGCATAACTGTGATTTAATTTTGTTACATATAACTTTAAACTTAATGTAATATCTAAAATATAAATAGTTGCTTTTATGAATAATTTTTGCAGATCATGAAGGACAAAATGAATTTAAGTAGAGGTCGGGACCGCGATAATACGGCGCGACA